TGAACTACACTGTATGTCATCCATAACTCATGTACAAATGTAGTATTAATATATTCTTACTCTTGATTTAAGACAGTTCAACTGACTGTAACACACAAATGTTGTTTATACTTTAAGGTAGTTAGAAATTATTGCAGCTGTAGCACTTTTCCAATACAAATTAAATCAATTACCAGAAATAAAGGTGGTGCTGCTGCGGGTCCCTGGCTGTGGGTCTAAGGAGGTGCTACCCCCAGGGATGCCCTCCACAATTGGTCTGTTACTATTGAAACCAAGGGCTAGCTCTTCTGCTGTGGTATAGGGAGAGGGTGCCGGACCACCACCTGTTTTTTTTTGTTCCGCCTTTTTCTTGGTTGCTGTTGTAAACCATGAAACACATTGATTTGCCAGTGTCTTAAAAGAAAATGAAGATAACTACGTTAAAGATTACCATTTTGTAAGATGTTCTTTTACTTCACTTTTACTTGTTCCCATGTTCGCATGGATCCACTGCTGGCTCTGACATTAAAGATGACAAAAAGAGCAATTATTACAAATAGGATTTGAGATATATATATATATATAAAATAACATATCAAGGAACATGTAACATGGGCAGCACTCATGCATTTAACTTGTTCGCTACTTTTTGCCAGCCCTCTCTCCTGGCTTTTGCAGCATTTGCTGTGTTTCCCGGTGTCTTTATTAAAGTTTGGAATTCTCCATAACCCTCTAATAAAAGCTCTTGCTCCGCTTGAGAAAAAAATTGAGCTCGCTCTTTTGCCATTTCGTCAACCAATCGAAGGGGTTGTGATCAGTGTTTCTACTGTCGATGCATATCGCCTTTTAAACCAACGCACGAACGCGCAATAATCCTAGACAATTCAATCCAGCCATACTAATCATCAACAACAGGTGTGCTCGAAGAACCAACTTAGCCGCATCGTAATTAGCGCGATAATCTCATCTTAGATGTGTCAATTCATCTCGGATGTGTCAAGCGACGTACGAAGAACGGACCCCAGGGGCCAGTTCCACAAAGCAGGGTTTCTTGCTTAGCTGGATAACTTGTTGGATTTAAGGTAGCCTGGGGTAAATATAAGTGAACAAAGATAAAGTTCATTTAGCCCAGACTACCTTAAATCTGACAACTTATCCGGCTAAGCAAGAAATCCTGCTTCCTGAAACAGGCCCCAGATTTGAAGAACCCTGCCCTACATCCTACTGGCCTTTTTAATTGCTTCCCCACATTGGCGAGAGTGGGACATGGAAGCATCAACATACGCACCAAGGTCTTTCTCATAATCAGATTTCTTTATTTTAGTGGAACCCATAAAATATCTGTACTTTATATTTCTACTTTATATTACCTTACATTTATCTACGTTAAATTTCATCTGCCAGGTATCAGCCCAGTCACTAATTAAATAAAGATCCCATTGTAGCCTCTGTGCTGCTAGTTCAATATCTGCTACACCACCCACCTTGGTGTCATCTGCAAATTTAATCAATTAACAGTATATATTAGTATCATTTATGTAAATAAGGAATAATAGTAACCCTAAAATTGAACCCTGCGGTACCTCACTATGAACACAGGCCCACTGAGACAATAACAACCTGCTGCTTTCTCTCTGTTAACCAGTATTCTATCCAAGCTGCCACAGTTGCTAATATCCCTGCTGCTTTTAGCTTAAGCAGGTGGTGTTTGTGGGGAACAACATCAGAGGTATCTGGTGTGGAAGAAAAATGACATGCTAATAGGGTTAGGGGGAGTTATTGTCACACCTGCATGCAGAGCAACAATCAACAGAGCAGCAGACAATTAAGGGAATGCCCATTCTGCTACTTAAACCTCATACTGAAATCTCTCAGTGTGAGGTATTTGTTAATATGCAATTGCTGAGCATTCTAACCCTTTGTCTTTGTTCCACTTTCCCTGCTTCCTCTAGATGGACATAGGTGAAATTCCCTAAGTGTCCTGGTGTGTAACAGTTATGGGGTTTGTACTGGGACTTGTGAGGGGAAGCTGCTAGGAGTGGAGAATCCTTCTATTATCCTGTCTGTGATAGTTTGAGTTCATATTATGAAGTACTTAACGTAATTCTAGTATATTGCAGGTACACTTTATAATTTCCATGAAGCACGTACAGACACAAGTGGTTTCCTCTGACTGGTGAATTTATTCCACATGTGAAAACTCGTTGGCTGTGTGCTTATCAAAGAAATTATGCTTATTTCGTCCTTCGTCCACATCCTTCTTAAGCAACGTGCGTACGTTAACCTTGCAGCATTATTCGCCTCTAACCTATGACCTTTGACCGGGTAGAGCTGCCTTTTTGTACTCTATAGCACCATCTGAAGGTGGCATGGAAAACTACAAGTAATAAAACAAACAGTAAAAACCATTTCAAGATGGAGAAAATAAATCTGACAGCTACACTCCCACCAAATCCCACAATCTTCAAGTGGGATTTCAATAACTAAAACCAACACCTTAGTCTAAGCATAAACAAAGTCAACATCACTCTGCTTCAAGCAAAACAACAACCTTGTGTACAGGTCGGTCAAGTGAAGTTGTCCTTGTCGTATGTTTGCCATGTTTGTCAAAAGTACTCTCACTAACCAAGAGTCTAACCTTTCTCACTTTATTGTCTGCCCCAGGATAAACATCTGTGACTCTGGCTATTTTCCATTCGTTGCGTGTAGCAAGATCGTCTTGAAGTAGAACAATATCATTGATCTTCAAGTCTCTTCTAGGTGCATACCACCTTTGTCTTGTTTGCAAGTTGAGTAAATATTCTTTCCTCCATCGGATCCAAAATTTGTTGGCTAGGTATTGTACTCTTCGCCATCTCCATCGAAGGTATAGATCTTCTTTAATGAACTGCCCTTGCGGAGATTGAACAATGGTGGACTTCATAGTTAGAATATGATTAGGCGTTAATGGTTCAGGTCCAGTAGGATCACTCAGACGTTCCACAGAAAGTGGCCTGCTGTTAATGATTGCCACAACCTCATACAAGAATGTCTTCAACGAAGTGGTGTCTAGCCTTCTAGCTGACTGGTCAAGGATAGCAGAAAGAACACTCCTTATTGTCCTTATCTGTCTTTCTCACACCCCTCCCATATGACTTGCTGCGGAGGGATTCATCAGGAATTCTCAGCCAATTGCCTTGATCCTATCTTGATCCATGTCTTTCATCAAGGTTGCAAACTCTCTTTGAGCGCCAACAAAATTGGATCCTTTGTCGCATCTCAACTGCCGAACATTTCCTCTGATGGCAATAAAAGCTCTCAAAGCATTCATAAATGCATCTGTACTCAGATCATCTACCACTTCTATGTGGATAGCTCGTGAACATAAACAGGTTAGTATCAATCCATATTTCTTTAACTCTTTACATCCATCCTTGACGTATATCGGTCCAAAACAATCCATCCCAACATAANCATCCTTGACGTATATCGGTCCAAAACAATCCATCCCAACATAAGTGAAAGGTGGAGTCGGTTCCGTTCTGTCTGAAGGTAAATCTCCCATTCTCTGTACTTCAGTACTTCTCCTGTACTTCCTACATTTGACACATTTGAAGATGAAAGATGAGACTGCATGGCTACATCCAAGGATCCACCATCCATTAGCCCGCAGTTTGTTGATCGTTATCCCACGTCCTTGATGCTGAATTTTCAAATGAAAATGTCTAATGAGCAAAGTGGATATATGACTGTCTTTTGGTAGTATTGCTGGATGCTTCACATAAGGGTGGAGTACAGCTTGACTCAAACGTCCTCCGACTCTGAGGATACCATCTTCATCCAGAAATGCTGCAAACAAATGCTTTGCAGAGGTTAGGATCATTTTCCTTGATCTCTCCCACCTTGACATCTCTTTCTGGTAGTTTCTCTTGCCAGAGGAACTTAGGTCCTGTGAACCAGTTGGATGCTTTCAGTTGTTCTGCAGTTAAACCACGAGAAGCATGATCCGCTGGATTGTCCTCTGAATTGATGTGAGCCAATTGTTCTGATGTCGAACTGGATTTGATTCTTTGAATGCGATTAGCTACAAACACTTGAAACCTTCTGGCATCATTATGTATGTAGCCGAGGACAACCGTGGAGTCTGTCCAGAAGAACTCTTGTAGGTCTTGGATATCCGATTCAGCTCGTAGGAGATCACTGACTCTAACTGCAACAACTGCAACTGACAACTCAAGTCTTGGGATAGCCAGGACACTGTTAGGCGTGACTCTTGACTTGCCCATCAGAAAACAACAGTGAACTTGATCTTGATGGTTAGTCACTCGCAGGTAGGTACATTCGCCATATCCAGAGACACTAGCGTCTGCAAAATGGTGAAGCTCATAGCTTTTGACTTGTCCAAACCCTGATGGAGTGAAACATCTCTTTATTTGTACATCCACTAATCCCAGTAAATCTTTGATCCACAACTCCTATTGAGGTTTCAGATGCTCTGGAAGTTCTTCATCCCAATCCACCTTATCTCTGCACATTTGCTGGAGAATCTGCTTACCTAGAAGGACAAATGGTGCAAGGAAGCCTAGGGGATCATAGATTGAGGCAACGGTGGAAAGTACACCTCTTCTTGTTAACAGGTTAGCTTTGACTCTAAACTTGAATGTGTCAGATGTAATGCACCATTCAACTCCAAGAGCTCTTTCTATGTGTGACAAACTTAGGGACATGCCTTGGTTGCTAACTGTTGCATGCTCTTCCTCAGGAATGGATGTCATTACCCTTTCATTGTTTGACACAAATTTGTGGAGCCTTAACTTTCCTGTAGCGCAGAGCTCTCGAGTCTCTCACCATAGAAAACGTAGGTAATCCTGGTCTTCTCTTTTCACATAGAATTGGTGAAACATTTGCTCAATATCGCACATGAATGCAACGGACCGCTTGCGGAAACGACAGAGAATGCCCACCAATGTGTTTGTCAAATCAGGACTTGTTAATAAATGGTCATTGAGGGATGTGTCTTTATACCTAGCTGAACAGTCGAACACCACTCGGATTTTCCCCGGTTTGTGTGGGTGATAGACCCCATGGTGTGGTATATACCATGCAGGACTGTTGCCTAGCTCTTGTTCAGGGATTTTTTCTGCATCACCTCGAAAGATTATATCATCCATGAACTTGATGTAGTCGTTGCAGTATGCTTTGTTTTTTTTTAATCTCCTCTCTAGACATTTCAGGCGGTGCATTGCGCATACTTTGTTGTCAGGCAAATTAGGTCGTTCATCACGAAATGGTAGTGGCATTTCATAGTGACCACTTTCATTGTGTTTGATGCCTTCTCTGAGTTTTGAGAGAAACTTAAGATCCTCTTGAGACATATGATTGTCATCAGCAGTCCTTTCTGAGAAATCTAACTCTAGTGCCTTGACGATCTCAGAAGGAGTGACATCTCTTACTTTAGTTCTGTTTACATAATGGACTTCGCTCTGAAGATCAACAGAGGGATTGATATCTGATGTGACTTTCTTCACAATGATGTGATGACTTATACCAATGGCATCTCCAAAATCCAGCCCTGGATTGCTTTGTCCAACTATGCACCAGCCGAGATCCGTGCGCTGAGCATAAGGTTCATCCTCTTTACCTGACACGATTTCCCTTGGTAATAGTGCTTGTGAGCAGTTGCATCCAATTAAAAGACCGACTTCACATTCTTGCCAAGGAGTAATTTCTGCTTGAAGATGTTCAAGATGTGGCCATGCCTTTGCTGTATCATTTGTTGGAATGTGCACTGTAACAAATTGCTGTATTTTTTACAGCAAAATTGTACAGAAACTTACTGTTTTGCCATTTTACAATTTATTGCTGTAATTTGCAATGCATTATGGGTTATACAGGGTTTTAGAAGTGTTAACTGTATATTTCACTGTTAGCTGTAATTAATTTACAGGTAGGAGGTGCTTTCACTGTATTTTAAATATTTTTACAAGAATTTACTGTGCTGTGGCATTATGGTATTGCGCGGGCTGATATGGTTTGAAATCTGGTGGACTGAAGCACAGCGACAACAGCTGAAGATAAACGAATATCGATTTTTTTGGTAAGTTCAATTAAATTTACTTCCATAAGTATTCATTATTTCTTTTAATGTTAAGTAATTCATATATATATATTGTATATATATATATATATATATATATATATATATATATATATATATATATATATATATAACGTTATGTAAGTTTTATTAGGATATTCCCTCTAAACGTTATGTTTAGCTATTTTGTAAAGGGATGTGTAGTTAACTTTATTTATCTGTTGCTTCAGGCGCGGAGGAGAAATGCGGTGCGCGCCATTTCAGAAAGCAGCCTAAAATAAAAGGTAAATCGTTATCGTCATGTTAATGTTGATATATGTTGCAGTTTGTTAGCTTTATTTGCCTTTGCTTTCTAGAGAGTATTTGTAGTTTTGCAGGCACAGCATTGCTATCGAAGTGCGTGTGAGACAAAACTAACGTTACATGAAGTGCTCAGTTGTCTTTGCTGATAGAAAAACATTAATATTACCATCGCTGGAAAAGAGTTTTACACTTCCAGACTCTCTGAGACTGATTGTCTTAGGTAATGTACAATGAACCAAAATCTGTAAATTATTTAATAAACTTGGTCTGTTGTATTTTCGGTTTGTATTTTCTATAACATGTTGCCTGTATTTATTCATTTAGGTGAAATTCTCACTGCAACTCTGTGGATGCTGAGTATTGAGGACCAAATGGTCGTGAATCCACATCTCAACTTTGTGGCAGGATTTGCTGCTTTGTTTGCATCATACTACATCTTCAATCTGGTGTACCAGCATGAGGCATCCTGCACACTTGAGTTTATCCAGAGGTAAAAAAATTACTTAACTATGCATGTGCGTATTTATATTACTTAAATATAAAAGTTAGAGGTTTCGTTCAACCAAAAATGAAATTTCAGTCATTAATCGCTCTCCCTCATGTCATTCAAAAGCCATTAGACCTTTGTTCATCTTTGGAACACAAATAAATATTTTTTAAAGAAGTCCAAGATGATTTTCCCCTTCCATAGAGATCAATGCAACTGACATTTTTAAGTCCCAGAAAGGTAGTGAAGACATCAGTGGTTCAATCATAACGTCATGAAGCGATGAGAATACTTTTTGTATGAAAATAAAACAAAAACAACTTTATTCAACATTTCGGCATCGAGTATCCCTTTAATTTAATAAAGTGACAAGAATACTTTTGTGCACCTAAAACACACACCAGAGACTGAAAGAAATTGTTGAATAAAGTAATTTTTATGTATTTATTTATTGTGCACAAATGTATTCTCATCGCTTCATAAAATTAAGGTTGAACCACTGGTGTCGCATGTTTAACGATTCAGACCTGCCAACCTGTACGCATTATGCGTAGCGGCTACGCATTTTGACTTCAAAGTACGCAGGTACGATTTGTCACTCTAAACTATGCAAAAACCTGGTGACGCCTTTGTGCTTTTGTGAATTTAATATTAACAATTGGTGTAAAATATATTATAAATACATATTAATTAAAATGTTCAATAATTCAAATTCAAATTAAGTTATTCTGAATTCAGTTATTCTGAATATTGTGGCTGCATTGCTTCCTTCACAACCTCCCAGCAACACCCCCCCCCACACACACACACACTCCCGGATGGTACTCAAAAAAAGGTTGGCAGGTCTGACTATTTCATATTTTAACGATTATTTCTTTCCTATAGGGACTTGAAAATGTCAGTTGCGTTGCTCTCCATTGAGGGGGAAAATTGTTTCGGATTTAATTATAAATATGTTAATTTGTGTTCCAAAGATGAACAAAA